CAGATCCTTGAAGCACTGACCATGACTGATAGGATTATTATTTTTTCCTCCAGGTTCAGCATTTATCTTGAATAAATGCTGAACACAAGTGAAAAGATGGGGAAGTGTGAATTTTCATATTTATCCAAAACAGTGCCAAGCTAGTATCTTTCTAGATTTGAATCTGCGACTTGTAGCCAATATGCACCACTCTGATCCCAATAGACTGCTTTTCATTGTATTTTAAGTTTTGCTTTACCTACAGTGTTGGTACAGGCAGGATTTTGAAGAGGCAGAGGAACTAGAGATCAAATTGCCAACATACGCTGGATCATGGAGAAAGCTAGGGAGTTCCAGAAAAACATCTACTTCTGCTTCATTGACTATGCTAAAGCCTTTGATTGTGTGGATCACAACAAATCGTGGCAAGTTCTTAAATGGGAGTACCAGACCATCTTATTTGTCTCTTGAGAAACCTATATGCGGATCAAGAAGCAACAGTGAGAACCGGACACGGAACCACTGATTGGTTCAAAATTGGGAAAGGAATCCAGCAAGGCTGTATTCTGTCGCCCTGCCTATTTAACTTATATGCAGAGCACATCATGAGAAAGGCAGGGCTAGATGAATCAAAAGTTGGAATTAAGATTGCCGGGAGAAATACCAACAATCTAGGATACGCAGATGATACCACTCTAATGGCAGAAAGTGAAGAGGAACTAAAGAGCCTCTTGATGCGGGTGAAGAAGGAGAGTGCAAAAGTTGGCTTGAAACTCAACATTAAGAAAACCAAAATCATGGCATCTGGCCCTCTCAATTCCTGGCAAATAGATGGCGAAAAAATGGAGGTAGTGATAGATTTTATTTTTCTGGGCTCCAAGATCACCACAGATGGGGGCTGCAGCCAAGAAATTAAATACGCTTGCTCCTGGGGAGGAAAGCTATGGCAAATCTGAACAGCATACTAAAAAGCAGAGACATCACCCAGCCAACAAAAGTACATATAGTCAAGGCCATGGTTTTCCCAGTTGCAATGTATGGCTGTGAAAGTTGGACCATAAGAAAGGCTGAGCGCAAAAGAATTGAAGTCTTTGAACTATGGTGCTGGAGAAGACTCCTGCAAGTCTCCTGGACTGCAAGGTGATCAAAACGGTCAGTCCTAGAGGAGATCATCCTGACTGCTCTTTAGAAGGCCAGATCCTAAAGTTGAAATTCAAGTACTTTGTCCACCTAATGAGATGGAAGGACTCACTGGAGAAGAGCCTGATGCTGGGAAAGATTGACAGCAATAGAAGAAGGGGACGACAGAGAATGAGGTGGCTGGATGGAGTCACTGAAGCAGTAATTGGGGATAAGAATGAATTTGTCTTTAATTTATTTCCCTGTCCATCCACTATAGTTCTATTGTTCCTATTAGAAAAATAATGAAATTGAATTTCCCAAATATATGATGGATTTAAACCTCAATATTCTGGTATCCATATCTTCTTCATGCATTTGAAAATCAAATTCTTTCAGTAAGAAACAGAATTTCAAAAAGATGTTCAATCTAGCCAGTAGAGAATTAATATTTGTCACCATCTCAATTAAATCTAGTATGCTTCTTTTTATATTGCTGACCTGAAACACAGGATGGTCAATTGCTCTTGGTAAGCCATTTTCTAAAAGCTAATCAAAAGCAAATTTCTTATTCAAGCAAAGAACTTTTATAACATATCTTTTGCTAACTGCCCATTATTTTGCTAAGAGCAGAAAATAATAATTGTGAGATGAATTTGGTTAGTACCTGTTAGGGTGAGAGAATCTAAACATAATTTAAAAACACAAAACTACAGCTATTGATAATAATATATTACTTTATTAGATGAACATTATCTCTCCTACCATCCAAATTCTTGTATGATGTAATAAAAGAAATCCGTACAGTTTAAACATCCCATTCCTTTTTTACATTTTCAGTTGTATGATTTCTTTATAACTCGGTTGCAGCCAAAATGTTTTTTTAAAAAACTTTGAAAAGAATTCTTTGAAAGAATTGTACTGTACCATGACTAAAATGGTTAGCTTTTTCCTACTCAAAAATACCTTTCAATAATGATTTCAAAGCATTAGGAGAGGAAAATCAGATTTGTATTTTAAAATTATTATATGTATTCACTATCAGAAAAAAAATCTGACATTATATTATTAAATTTTCTTCCTGGGCTGCATCAAGTATTTCCTTTTATTTGTAGTACTATCACTTGAACAGATTTTGGGTCATATCTATATCTATATCTATATCTTATAAAATTTGGATTACTAACAAAGAATTAAGGGAGAATGGGATAGCTATTTCGAGTTTCTTAACTCTCTTCAGCCAAACTTACCCTTCTGAGATTCCAGCTGCATGCTAGGCAGCTGTATTAACCTCTAGACCACAGGCTCTTTCTCACTTTGTCAGCTGTATCAGGGAGGGAAGAGACAGGGGAAGGAGATTTACCTTGAGTGTTTCTTGATGCACCCTGTCGGCCCAAATATGTAAAAAGAAAAAAGAAAAAGAAAGAAGATTTCTTTCTCCCATATTTGGGCCGACAGGGTGCATCAAGAAACACTCAAGGTAAATATCTATATCTATATCTATATCTATATCTATATCTATATCTAATCTATCTATCTATCTATCTATCTATCTATCTATCTAGATAGATAGATAGATAGATAGATAGATAGATAGATAGATAGATAAACAGACAGACAGACAGTCATTTTTTAAACTATGGGCACAATGGCACACATTAAAAATGAAATTTAGTGGCCTGCTCTCAAAAGTGTACACATACATAACACACATTTAAACATACTATATACAACATATGTATAGACCTACACCCTTACATATATGCACATATAAATATTAATCACTATCCATCTTGAATACATAACGGAAGGAGGAAGCTTTAGAGTTCACAAGGTTAATACTATATGGAACAAAACTGTGACTGAATCTGGATGTTCTGCTTCGGATACCACGGAGCCTCCTTTCAGAAGGTTAACAAAGAAAACAGGTCATGAGGAGGATGATTTTGCAGACCCTGCTCAAGCAAGGCTTATGTGCTATGTCCTGGATGGAAGGGAGGGAACTGCCAATAATCTTTTCAGCCATCCTCACCACTCTCTGTACCACTTTCCTATCTGAAATAGTGATGCTTTCAAACCAGACTGTGATGCTGTATGACAGGATGCTTTCGATCGTTCCTCTGTAGAAAGTGGTAAGGATAGGGAAAGGAAGATGTGTTTTTCTCATGTGACACAGAAAATGCAGGCGCTGCTGTGCCCGCTTCACCAGTATCTCACTGCTGAGTGACCAAGCCAGCCTATTTGTTAACTACACATCCAGAAATTTGATGCTGGTAACCATCTCCACAGATGAATTATTAATGCACAGAGAAGTGTGGCTGTGCCTGCCTTTTCTGAAATTGACAATCGAAAAAGACTTTCACTGACAGAAATGGGAAGGGGTCATTTTCACAAATTTGTTTTTCAGCTTGCAAGATCCACCACTATTTCTTCCACTGTCCCACTAGGTTCCCCAGAGCACCAAAGAAGAGTTTTGGAGATAAAAGAAGTAGTAGGGAGAAGGATGAAATTAAGGAACCTGCTTCTTTCTTCTTTCAGCCCTGGAAATATTCAACTCTGGTAAAGTTTTTCCAAGAAGAAAATCATGGTTCTTACTCAATGAAAACAAAGCTCTGAAAATCAATAAAATTAAAAAAAAGAAACCAGATATCCTAATTAAATAAATTAAATATGAGTGCAACACTCATTTTTAGATGTTATTCAGAATATTCAACAGATGTTACAGTACATTGTCTCATATGACAGGCTAAAAGTAAAGGTTAATATAAGGTTGCAGATTCAAACAGTTTATATCAAAGCACCATCCACAGAAAAGGTTTGAGTGAAGAATGTTAAGACCATGGCAAGTATATAAGAGATTATTTTTTTTCAAAACAAGCACCTTCACAGAAAGTACAAAAACAAACAAAGAAAGTGGTAGACCTCAAGGACTCTTAAAAGAATTATTTAAAATATTGTGTTGTTGAAACATTTACTTTGGGACCTGATGAATAAAAATAACATGTCAGAAATGGACTAGCTGATTCTTTCTTCCATTCCACATACCTGGAGCAGACTACAATGGTATCAGTTTGACAATTTACAGATCTTAATATCCCTACATAAATGACATTCAACACAAGATCATTAGACACATGCACATGGCATGATATACATATTGTCGTTTGCTTCCCTACAGATACCATACCCTAACGACTTTTCATTGCTCACTACATGACTGCAAAGAAGTACTTCTGTCCTTTAGATGCTCTGTCCAAGTTTTTAGAATACAAGCAAACTAAGATTGTAAAATCACAAAAACTGAGATAACTACTATCCAGGAATAGAAGGCAACAAGAAAGATGAACTAGAAGAATGCTTTCCTTCTATACTATTTCCCCAAGCACCTCCAGTTTGTGTACATGTTAAACAGATCATTTTAATTTTAATGTTACAGTGGATAAAGAGTATTAAATACATGTAGACAGTGGAGTGATTCAAATATATGAACAACCGGTTCTCTCTGTGGATGCTGCTTCTGGAAGTCTATTCTGGGCCTGGGCAATAAAAAATTAGCTACTGGTTCTGCCAAAGTGGTGCAAACCAGCTGAATCCCACCATTGCATGTAGAACAATGATATTAACCTGTCCTGAATCAATGCTATTTCTTTAAATCAAGTTTAAATTTTCTCTTTGCCATAACCATGTCTTTGTCCTTTGCAAATGCCAATTGGAACTGCCTTTAAAACAATATATTTATACAAAGATCACATATAAATACTTTAGATACACATAAAGCAAATAATATATTGCTAGAGTGGTTATATGTAAAGTAAGAGCAGACTTCAATGATCACTTTTAGATACAGCTTAAAGCAGCTGGCATTCAAACTCCTAATATAACTTGTGAGAAAAGATTCTTACCTGTAAATAAGATTCTAATCCCTGCCGACGCTGTTCCAAAACTTTGGGTACCCAGTTCCTCACATGCTTTGAAGGGATTTCTGGAGTTCTTATGAATTTTTTAAGCTAAAAAATATGAGCAAATAAATAAACTCTCCGATCAATATAACAGATTCTTTAAAAATAAAAACTTACAAAAAGAGAAATAAACAAATTGGGAAAGAAGACAAAAAATCAATAAACTAAGCGTTGTTATGAAAAACCTCTATGACTGTAAGTGGGTTTATTCAATTACAAAAGGTATTGGTACTGCAAATTTGAAATAAACACTTGTAACAGTTAACAGATTGGGCAATTTCTTAAGTTGGGACTAAATATTTTGTCAGCTAAATAATAACTAACCAATGTACAACTCTAATACAACTCTAAAGAATGGACTTTAACTCCTATTTTAGCATGCACTCTTGAGCATTTTTAAAAACAAACCTTGAAACTATTATATGGTCAAAATGAAATTTGTTTTTTTTTCTCTCTTGCAGGATGGGTGGTTTAGAAAATAGCAAATACAGACAAAAGGTTTGGTTTTGAGAGAATAGCTTAGGGCAATAAATTCATAAACTGAAAAATAAGGAGCAGAACAAAAAAATTGAATGAATTAAGTCTCAGAGATTATAGGACAGGGCAGACTGATTGGCATCAATATGAATAAGTATATATATTATTGTTCTTCTCCTTTTTTGGGTAGTGGAAATTATCTCAATGAACAATTGTGACTTTCCATTCAGACTTCTTAATTTGACAGAATTCAAAGTAGCTGACAAGAATATAAAACTAAAAAACCTATGAATTCATTTATTGCATAAATTATGTGCACAGATTTCAAGTTCAAATGATAATCAAAATCATTAACCAATACTCAAAGTGTGCATTTCCAAAATTTGCCAAGGTTGACACATATAGATTAGAGACAAATTATATTAATTTCAAAACAAAAGAAAATCACTTTTAACCAACATGCGATATAGTCTTACTTTCCAATGTTCTGAGTAGTATTTAAATTTATTTTTGTAATGAAGCAACAAGGAATCTGCTTATTGTCTGAGATCTTCTAATGGCACAAGTGTTGCTCAACAATACCCAACAATTACTCAAAAGCACATCCCATTCTTATATGATTTTTCAGAGGCTGTGGATGGGTATGCTCTTGTACAACTTCTGGATGTCGTGCAAGAGGGCTGTGCTGTTGCATGACTCTGGAGCTTGTGTAAATCCTGAAAGAATGGGATGTGCTTTCGTTTGGTTTTGGAGGCTACAGAGGCTGTGAAAGGGCGTTCTCTAAAGACACTTCAAAAACAAAAGCTTTGTGTGACCTGAAACTGCCTTAGGTAAGCTGCAGGGGCCTATCAACGGAAAGAGAACGTAAGTGGCAAGCAGCAGATCCTGGGGAGCATTGTGCTGTGGGGCAATCACACAGGTGCAAGGTGGCCTGTTTGAGTAGCATCAGTGTGGTAGGGCTGAAGTTGAGGCCTGGCATGCTAAAGACCTAGAACAGAGGTCTCCAACCTTTTGGGCACCAAGGACCGGTTACATGGAGAGAGGCTTGTTTGTGCGGCCCGGTTGCTGGCATGCCACGGACCAATCCCAGCCCCCCGACCAGGGGTTGGGGACCCCTGCCCTAGAAGGCTGAAGTTGAGGCCTCCTCTACTTTAGGCCCAGCCTCAGTGCTACCACAGACTGACACTGTTCAGTGAGATCTAGATGAGGGGAAGATAATTATTTTTCCTCTGTGTGTGTGTATGTGTGTGCGACACACCAGCAGAGTAGTTAGGTATTTTCTGAATTTTTGACATGTCAAACCCAAAAGGTTTGCCGTCACTGTGCTAGGGCCATAAGATCTGGCCTGCAAAATTGTGGACAACTGCTAAACAGCAGCAAAGAATAATAGAAAACTTCAATGCTTGCCATCTAGTGGTTGTCCACATTTCTACAGCTTTTATATAGCAGTTCTACTGTGCATCTCAAAGTGAAAAAATTATGATTGGCTGAAGTATGAAAGAATCTTCTACAATTACTAAATTATGGCTTTCTGTTGACTGATTTATAGCCAAATAGGTAAGTCAATATGAATCAATTCCTGTCCACAGTTTATTTATGTTTTTAAAATGGAAAAGCAGGATATAAATATTAGCAAAATCGATTTCTCTCCAAAAAAACTATAAGGGATCTGGTGATTGTGGCATATCTGGACAGTTTTGGCTATTAAGTGCCCTTGGATAAGCTACTATTTTACTGTAGATGAGAGACCTATACTTCCTTGTCTCATTAGCAAGAATAATACCTATATATCAGAATTCCAATAAAGGGTAGCATATAAAGTAACATTAAATCATTTTATATACAAAACAGGTTGCATTAGAAATAAAAATTAAAGTAAAAAGAAAGATAACAAATATAGTTATAGTTAAAATGAGAAGTACTCTCCAGGTATTTTATCAATTCAAAAATTGTGTGAAGGAGTGGAGATCAAAAGTCAAAAGGACATTCAAACTCCAATTTGACTTTGACATGTAATGCCCACGGGGCTAGAGTAATTTACATTTCATCTTTCATCTTGAGGAGATGTCATCTGACTAAAAGCTGTGTCAACAAATGTTTCAAGGCAGATTTGAATATCAGAGAGAGAGAGAGAGAGAGAGAGAGAGAGAGAGAGAGAGAGAGAGAGAGAGAGAGAGAGAGAGAGAGAGAGAGCGCGCGCTACTGTTCAGGAAGGAGTTCACAATTTATAGTTGCTCATTTAAACCAGATTTCCATAATCTGGTGGTGTTTCTACAACTACTATTTCTGATAGGCATGTGAAAAGCTCCAATATGATAATGTTCTGATAAACTTAAGCAGATCTGAATTTGTTAAAGATCATGACTGAGTCACAATGATAGCACAGCCAACCTATGTCTCTCTTTAAATATGGAAACTGGTGATTCATATAGGATTGGGAAAGCCCACAATTTCCTGGCATGGATTTTAGTTCTTCTGGATTTCAGCTTTAAATGGGATAGTAAGTCAGCAATGTATTTCTGAAACCACAATGCTACAAATGGTGAACAAATCAATCATAATACATGACAGTAACCAAAATTTAAGTTTAAATAATTAAATATATTTTAATCTCACAATTTAGGCCACATAGACCCAACAGCTTTACTATGCTTCCCTGCGATACTGGAGCTGGTAAGAAATCAGATGAATTTAAATCTTGCTGCCATCATGTGCATCTTTGCTGAGTTTCCAAATTGCGTCTGTGATTGCTGTTACCCATACTGTTTTAATGTGCAACTTTCTAAAGGACATGATTTAAGGACTTCCACGTTTCGATGGTCAATCAGTTGACCAACTCACATAAAAAAGAAAAAAATCTGCAGAAATGATAGTTCCATTCTTCCTGGCAACCAAGAGAAAAATGAGGAGTGGATAAAAGTAAGATCAAAGGGGATAATTCCAGAGGAAACCTGCAGGAACAACCGGAGCCAAGAGATTGCTGGCATGGAACACCTAATTCAGACACATCAGCATGCCCTGCATTTGTTGGAGACATCATCTTGTCATGAGATATTAAGGAAAACACCTCTTCTGATATGCATTTTAAGTTACCTCAGCTGCGAGAGAACATTGTAACGTAAGCAAACACATGTAGGCATGTCCGCAGAAAGCAGATAGTGAGCCATCATTGCATCAGAGCAAGCAGGCAGTGTGGACTTGTCTTCAAGTTAGGATAAAACACTGTTCAAAATTAGTAGCAAACCAAAGTTGATAAGCAGAAAGAAAACCTGACGTGAAAACTCCCATTCTGCCTAGAAGAACTGGATATGATCAGTGAGCATAAAATAGTGGCTGCTGAAGAAGAAAGAAGGAGATTAAAATGCTATTTCTATAAACTACATGCAGGGTTTTGCTGCACATCCCACTTTGTAAAGCAATGCTTGGAAAATAATGAGGTTGTCACATTGGCTGCAGGAGGGAACCTCAAATGGCTGGCTCAAGATCAATGCTTCTACCCAGTACAGTTTGAAAAAGTGGCATGGCATTGAGAGCAGCTCCTACTCCTACTTAGCCTTTCCCTCTGAAAAAAGAGGTAGATAGAGTTGGATTTTCTCTCAAAAAGACTGGATAGAGGGGAGCACCAGCTCCGAATTACTGAAATTTAATTTTTTTTCTTTTCTATTTGTTTGCCCTTTGCTTGATCATCTAGTAGTAATGAATGCAGAGAGAACTAACACCCCCCCCCAAAAAAAAGATGGCAAAAAAGACAAAAAAAAAAAAATAGTCCAACTACCACCTAGCTTTGGCTGAGGGCCTGGACTGAATTTTATCTGGGTCGGTGGGCCTCTATATAAAAAAAGTAGTACCCCATGCTTGATCTGAAGAGAATGGAAAACCTTACTTTCTCTGTGCAGACAAGATATTTGTTTTTTAATCCAACCTACTTACTTACCTACCTATCTACCTATCTTTAATTGTTCAACAGTGGACAGTATTGCAAGTAAAATAAAACTTCCTTATCATATTCAGAAATAAAATGAAGTTATTACTTGGGAATGAATGGAAATAGGCTACAGATAGTATTACCTGAACAATTTGTACACTATACTTACTTTTTTATGGAGAGCATGAAATTCACTATATCTTTTTTCAACAAAATGCTTTCTTCCATTCATTAGTACCTCTATCTTAAAGACCTGTGAAAATAAAAGATTACTTTAATATATTTCCTGATATGTTTGCTTTGTGATCGATTTCTTTGCTTTAATTATTGTAGCCAATCTTTTCTACCTCTCAAAACCCCACCACACTCAGGAGATACCAGGATGCAACATTGATTAACGAGCACTCTGATGCCTTTAACCAAGTGTTTCTTTAAATCCATCTAAGGATTAAAATGTTTAATGCCTAAAAAAACTATTTTATTACACCACTCTTATTCCTAGACATTACCTTATCTGCATTTTGCAACTGAATATCCATGAATATATTTTATCCCACAGGCAATGTGGTGATGGAATTTTATTTTAAAAATGCAAAATAACTGAGAAACAATTGTGCTTTTTCTGATCACATATTACATACAGTACATTCACAACATACAGTGATAGGTATCCCATAGGCTACTCTACTTTTTTGTATCTTTACTGCATGAGATATAAATACAAAGACTACATTATAGGTTAATTTCTGCCCTAACCTATATACTCATGTTTAGTCTCAGCTGGACTTTTTTTAAGTGTTTAAACTACTTTAAAAAATGTGGTGCTGACTTGTTTTCTTAGCATGATGAGTATGACAGCTTTGGATGCTGTCTGTACAAGGTTGAAAGGCCAGATGAAGCAGCTCTGTAGATCCACTAATTAGTAGCCACTAACATGACATTTTCTTGATTTTCAGGTCACTGGGTCAAATCTTTAGGGCAGGTGACAAAAAATATCTCACAATGCTTATGAAAACACAACCTAGTGAAACCAAGATCAGAAAATTGCATAAGACAATCTATTTACAATGAGTAAATATTCTTATCTTCAGAAAAAAAAAGAAAAATAGATTGAGAGAGTGGATAATATATACAGGAGATTTCTAAGTCTAAAACTGTGTTAAGCAAACCTTCTTTTTGTGACATGATTTTGTGGAATAATGTTAGTTATTTTACAAAAAAGAGAACTATGTAACTTTGTCTGTTACAGTTATCTAAGCTTTTTGTGGATAAAACCACATTTACTTAGAAATGGAAGCCAGCTGAGAGATTGACAAGTTACTCGGAATGTATTCAAGCTTGTTGTCTCAAGGAAGTGGACAAGACTTCCCCCAAGATTGCCTCCATCATTTGGGGATGTGATCGTTGTTCTGCATGACTAATATTTCTAACACAATTTCAGTAATAAGATAGGGAACAATTGTAAAAGAGTATCTATATTTCAAGAACTTTCAAAAGAATGAATTTTGGTGAAATGTATTTATGTGAAAATTTGCAACTTTATTTTGTTTGTAAATCATTTAATATCTATACCAAATTAGGTTTACACAATGCACTAAGCTGTAATATGGTTTCATTTTAGCTTGGTGTATTCTATGAACCCAGCCCAATTTGTAAGTCATGGTTTATGATTTAACACTATTGATGAACCCAGACAGAAAACACATTAAACAAATACAACATATCAATTATGGGTGAACTGGAACAACAAACTTATCTAGGTAGTACAGTGGTAACTAGGTGGCATCAATTGATCATCTAGTAAATGAAAGTTTAGAGCAGGCTGGTTTTCTTTATATAGTATGGCTTTTGAATCAAGGAAGTAAGCTATAGTAAATCTTTTGGGGGGCAATGCGGATGCCTCAGCAAAAAACTCTTATCAAAGTTCAGGATCAATGGTCAAAATTCATAAACATTTTTTAAGTTGGAAAATAATTTGGGATTTCCATATTGTATGTATGGTCTGAAACTTCTGTATGTCGGGGATTGTTTTCTTGAATAGATATGGCTTAATACTATTACCCATATGTTACTAAATTCTATATCTCGGGTATTTTACTTTTCAAAATCCCCTTTCATAACTGTAAACTAATTGCATTCAGATTGTAGAGTTCATATGCTGTACAGTACAGAGACATAATGCAGTTTATTTGGCTTTAGTTTAATATGTTATGTGAATCTAATAATCATAATTAGTTAACTATAAATTATAATTTAGTATGTTTTATAAACCTAGTCAATTGTGGTTTCTTTAAAAACCCAGGAGTAAAACAAACCATGGCTTACTGTGATATATGAACATTGTTTCTCTTCTTAGCAGATTAGCTACCAGCAACAATACAATTTGTTTTTCAACAGACATTACATCTTTATTGTAATTTTATTATTCTAATTCTTCAAATTTGAGGTATGTTGCTAAGAACAGTTAAAATTAGCTTTAGGATATTCAAAATTCTTAAAATACTGGTCATACTGAAAACGTCTTACTTCAAGAGTCTTAAGAATTTGCCACATGACAAATGCATACATCAAATCATAGCATGTTCAATTACCTGGACCTTGAAAAAATAAGATCCAGCAGTTGTAATAAAATCACATTGTGTTGAGCTTTTTGCAAAGGAAATTTTATATTTGGAAGATCTGTACCAAAAAGGAAATGTTTCTATTCTTGAACAAGCATACACAATTTTATAAATACAACATATGGATCGCTGTTAAAATACAGGTTGCAGCAGCTATTTGCCCAAATGAAAAAATAGTTTGCAAATTTCAGTAAATTATAAAATACTATTTAGTTCTTTAAGAATGATACGAGAGGTAGAAGGAAATCCCACACGAAGAAATATCAGACATGATTATTTTTGTATTTATGATATTTCTCTATTCCAAAGCAATTGAAATTAATGTTACAAATTGATGCCATGGATCTAAGTCTGTAATGTTCACATAATCATTAATTGTTTAATAGAAATAATTTGTTTTAACTAAAACTGCAGGTTGCTTTTATCTTATGAGGCATACAAATTATTTCTCTCCCATATATTATCATATGAATGCACAATAGAATTAAATTCTATTAGAACATTCATATATTTTCTGATCTATAATGAGAGTTGGGTTTGCTCCTTACACGTTCACGATCATCTCTGAACAAAAAAGAGTGTCCATATAGCGCTGCATAAAGACTAAGAATAATCCATAATCACTTCCATTTTACAATTTTTGAACAAAAAAAGCTAATGTATAGATTTAATATGCACATCCTTATTAAAGTAATAACTTGAGAACTGGGACTATGGAGATTTGGTTCACACAATGCACCAAGTTCTTACAGAATAATCTACATTTGTTTAAGTTCTCAGGACACACTAAGCCAACATTTTATGATTCATATGTTTCTTGTGTTATTTTCAATCTAAGCAGTCTGTTAGATTGAAATATTTTCCCACTGTACTAAAGCTATTTTTTTCCTCCTTAAATCTGTTTTTTATAACTTTTCTTCCCAAGAAAAATCACAGCTTGTGGCAGAACTTTTCATACAGATCATGGCAAAGAATATCTATTAACAACAAACACATATAAATGTATCTTTCAAACCATATTTCCCTCTCCATCAATGTGTGTAACTTTAAAGTTGGGGGTGGAATTCATCATGGGTATTTAACCTATTATATAATTTGGCTCTTTTAGCAAGCAATAAAGAACTTCAATGACTATATTCTGCCTTTTAAAGGTATAATTCGTAAATGCAGCAGATAGAACAGATTATATTTATAACTCTTTGACAGTCAAATGAACGTTCTTTCTCTTTCCCACAATAAAAGTGCATTCAGTTCTCAAAACTTTCTTTCTACATGGAACCAATAGTTGATAGGGGAAATAATTAGCCATTTAACTTATATAAATGAAGAACAGTGTGTGAAGACTTACACTTTTCTTAGATTAACATGCCTAAAATAGGCATTTTATCTCATAACTTTCAAAAGATGGAGAAGACATGCTGAGACCTATTAAAGTCCTATTTGAAAAATTCTTTGTGACAAATCATAGCAGAGTTCTTTATAGGTTTTGATAAATATATTTAACTTGTCTTCATTTAAAGAGAAAATTTAACACAGAATAGTAAATCATTGTCTGATTACCCATGGTAATAAATATATTATAAACCATTATAATAAATACATTATAAACAATAGCAAGTTTGGAAAGCAATCTATTTCCCAACACTTTAGTACAAAACAACATTCCCAATTTTTAAAGGTCCTGTTTGGAGTTAACGCCAAAGAAAGAAGAATATTACCTTAAACTAGAATTTAGTGGTAAATGGATAAGCTTCTATAATCTGAGAAAAATCATAGGCTTTTATAATTCAACTTTCTTTTGCTCTCTCTACATATCTTGGAGCAGTAGTTAACAGGATTCAGTTTTTATTTTTACAGTTCCTAGCTTGTTATTGAACCAAAAAATCATCATTTAAAACTTGCCAACAATTTAAATGTATCCAGCCAAATGATGCAAATATTGAAAGTTATTTGAAGCAAAACCTTCAGTACAGGGGAGCAACTCTGAGCTTCCATTTATATACTGTATGTAGCTTAAAATACCTTCAAGCTGAACACCTGTAACTTGGATCTGTGCAATCTTCTGGTAGAGCTACAGAAATTATTTATCCCTGCTGTTTTCTGGATTTTCCTCTCTAATTCCTATTCTAAAAATCAATTCTGCATATAATATTGACCAGTAAATCAGACTTGATCTTACTCATGTCTGACACTGGCCAAATGGAGGAGTGCTATTTTTTGGAATCATAATTTTATTTTAAAAAGATGTCTGTGTATGGGGATTTTAGAGTGTCAAAATAATGAAGGAAATACTAGGTGTACAGTTATGGAAATAGGCTGGAATTCTTCAATATATATTTGTGTTCTATATATAGTACAAACATATTGAAATTTTTAAAAAAACAAAAACAAATTTGAATTTCAAACTTAAATAAAAAGAACAACAAAAAAGTATCAGTAGAGATGTACCCAGTGTATCAAGCAATTAGATATTTGCAAATGAACTTTACTCAACATTACTACATCTTGGCTGAATACTAATGAAGTTAATCTGCATTTTTATTGGCTACCTGTATCCATTGCCTATCACCACAACTAATTCCCTTTAGACCAAAATTTCTCATAGACACTTAGTGCTCCAGCTCAACACATTTTATACAATAAAAACTGAAGAAACATAGCAGAATGTAGCTGATTGATGGAAGCAAGCAAGTCTTTTTAATTAAGCTGAACTTAATTAAGGTACAACAAAAAAGAATACCACTATTTTATATTATAAACAAATACATACTGTCAAATATAACAGAAAGATACTTTGTTTTTTTAAGTTAGTGAATACTGAAATATCTTGGCATAGAAGTATTCAGCATTAGACAAGGATGCATCCAGTAAATAAAATTGTATTTTTATCAAATCCAGTACTACTGGATCCATTTCAGTAGAAAACAATAGTAGAATTTGAACATCTGCACAAGCTAAATTCACATTGGCTACATTTTAGTGACCAAATTAACCACTATATGGATTTAACCATATTGACCAAATGCCCTGATCACACAATACTTAAGACTACTAAAACCCTAACTAGAATTAAATTTAATCAAGTTTGATATATTATGTGAAAAGAATCCCAAGCCCTTATCTGACCTAATTTCTACAAGTTGTATACACCCAGCCACACTTTTCACATGGCTTGTTCATACCCAATAGGTGGGTTTATATAATGAGCCATAATAACTCTATTATTCTGTTATTTCAAAGTTCTAGTTTATATGCATTGCTGCATATAAAATCATTTATATTTAACAAGTACAATGTGAGAAACTGTCTGAATAACAGTACCGTAGCAACGTAATTCTAACTTGAATTCAGCATTAAATACAAAACCACTGGCACTGCATTTAAAACAGGAGAAAACCAGCTTGTGTGATGGTATCTTTAATGTTTATATATCATCCAGAATCACTGTTGTAAAATGGAAAAGAAAGGAAAGGAGTCCCTGTGAATTTTATTCTGCTAGTCGTAACAGTAGGGGTGGCCCCCATCTCCAGCATTGTCTGGGGATGTTTCCATGGTCATGTGGATGTCACGGAGCACTGTTACCTTTCCATCAAGGTGGTACGTATTTATCTACTGGTATTTGCATGCTGTCGAATTGCTATATTGGCAGAAACTATATGAAGATTGGAATTCACTTCATCACACAATGCTCGAGTCTCAAATCTGAGCAATGGGTTTTCCAGCAGACAAGTCCAGTCTCTTAACTGCTGAGTCTTTGCACCCACTCTTGTGAGATGGGTGGCTGTATAAATTATTTGAAATAATGTTTTTAAAAAAACCTTTTATTTACAATTTTCCTATTCTTTAACACTCTGGATCATACCAGAATTAGACATCCTATGCTCAAGAAGACAAATTCATTTATTTATATGAGGTAGCCATACTACCCAAATTCATAAAATGGAAAATACTGTTGGATACAACAAAATAGACACGTAGGAAACATGACAATATTAATACATTTTGCCCACTTGCCCAGCTATTCTAATTGTCATTCAAGCAGCTAGGTATTCATTCTCTGCTGTTTCTGATTCCCACAGATTTAGTCAGCTCACGACAAGATGTTCTAAAATGTCCTCCCATTGCAGGTCTCCAATTCAGCTACTATTTTGGAAGAGAAAAAAAAGAGAAATGATACATATTGAGGAATTTGCCCTGCTGAAACTAAAGGCATATATTTGTCCTCATCTCATTCTAATTCAACCCAAGGGGTTTTTTTGGGGGTGGGGGAGAGAATAACTACTTGTTTATTTGAAGAACAATATTACCACTCTATTGAATATCATACATACTACATAATACTAAGTACAGATTATTTAATGTGATAAGCTACATAGACAAATATTATTGTCTATGTAGCTTGTCTATTGTCTATATATGCTACTCTATTTACACAATAGTAATTAATTTATATTACTTCTTTTTTTTCTGCGCAAGTTTTTTTCTGAAACATCAATAAGAGGAAAAGGGAAAAACAAATTAAAGATTTAAACATTTAACCTTAATTTCTAAAAGTGTCTTCCAAACAGTAAGCAAAATGCTTATTCAAATATACAAAGAGATGTGTATTTTTCAGACCACCATACAACTGATGGAGAGTATGTCTATCTAACTATATAGTATTATTTTTGTAGCTATAAATGCATGCAATATCCATTTCTATTGTCCTCATAATAGTTTCCAAACTGTTGGCATATCATGGAAAACAACACAAATATCAATGAAAGTTCAAGAACAAAATTAATATGTGAAACAACTTTTATCCAGTAAGGGAATTATTATAGCACAAAATAAATCTGCATTTTGAGGACTACCTCTCTAACTCTTAGGTGGACTCATCAATCAATTTAAAAGACCATGTAAGGTCCAATGTGTACAAAATAATATTTTTTGAATTAATCAGCAAAATGACATAGATGCCCAAATTCCAATTCTTTATCCCATGCCTCCCTTTACTTTTGAATATCTAATTTTTCATTTCTAATTTAAAGACATAGTCACTTCATTAACACAATTTCTTGTTTTGTGACATGTCAAACAGAAAATCCTGCAATAATTCCCACCTCACAAAGATTTAAATGACTTCATTCAAAATGGAATTGTATTAGCCTTTCAAGACAGCGATTTACATGAAATCTTGTATAGTTTCTCTGTTGGTATAAAATGTAGATGCCACTGCACATCAGGCCTGTATTTGACTCTTTGCGTGGACAGTCCAAAACAGTTTTCCTGATCTGTTTCAACTTGAAATGTTGTCAATATATGGATTGTCTTGCTTTCTAATTCAGTGAAAAATCTAGTTTTCCATTAGTCTCTGCCTTTCTAATTTTCAATACAGCTTTACTAAATGTAATTATTAAAGGCAGATTCAAGAAAGCAATTACTGAGCTACTGGTTTGTATCTCTGAAGTCTTAATAAGAAGTAAACCACCAAAGTGGCAGGAATACTTAAAATCAAATTCTCCATCATCATCATCATCATCATCCTCATAATCAGACATTTTACAAAATAGTTCTAAGTTCAGAGCTGCTTCTGAAACTTCTATTTTTCTTTGTCTGAGCTATTTTATGGGGTAGAGTGCTTGCTGTTAGTGAAAAAGAAAGTCATGAATAGGCACTACTACGCAGTGCTCTGAATGAGGCCTTTAATTTTTAATAATAATAATAATAATAATAACAACAACAACAACAACAACAACAACAATAATAATAATAATAATAATAATAATAAAGTTGGAAGATACCTTGGAGGTCATCTAGACCAACCCCCTGCTCAGGCAGGAAACCCTATACCATTTCAGACAAATGGCTGTCCAGTCTCTTCTTAACTTCCAGTGTTGAAACATTCACAGCTTCTTTAGGCAGATAGTTCCACAGCTTCTGGAGGCAGGTAGTTCCACTGATTAATTGTTCTAACTGTCTGAAAATTTCTATTGAGTTCTAAGTTGCTTCTCTCCTTGGTTAGTTTCCATCTGTTGCTTCTTATCCTGCCTTCAGGTGCTTTGGAGAATAGCTTTTGTGTATCTTCAAGTAAACAGTTGGGTTATTAGTGGGATTACATGGGATTCAAAAAACTAGGCAGTTAATTTATGTATCTGTGTTAATGTAAAGCATCTATTTACACCCACATGGTAATCTATCTTTGAGATTAATTGCTTTTGAAACTGGTAGATCTTTGAAAAGTAATGATTTCATGATTTAACATTTGGTTCTAAAATTTGGTTCTAAAGGAGAAGGAAGAGGAAGGCTGCTAATTACATAATCTACAATACCATAACCTTAACACAATTCTTGAAAAAGCTTTCTTCAAGACAGACCATACTAGAGAAATCAGAAACCAATGGACTAAGATGAGACAATAGTGTATGTTTTCACTGTTTTAAAGTTTTCCCCTTTAGGTAGATTTTGAAGTTACTTAAAAGGTTTGCAACATGTCCCATCAATAGTTACCTTGTTCCAGATACAGTGTTGGAAAAAATAGCTGTCAAATATATTTAAAACACACAAAACAGATTGGAGAACTTTAAGAAGATACTGCCTTCTATATTTCTACTTTAAAATGCATGTTCCTTGCCATAAAGTTAACAAATATTTTCTCTCCCAGCCTGACTTTTCTATAGATACATTGAATATGTACTCCTGAGAATATTTGACATTTTTTTGGGCAGATCTAAAGTAATTCTCTAGACCAGTGATTCTTAACCTGGGCGATATTGCCCCCCAGGGGGTGATTTCATTTTTCAGGGGGGCGATGGAACGAAAAGGGGGCGATGGAGCGAGATGTTGGTGGCGCAGCAGTTAGAGTGCAGTACTGCAGGCCACTTTAGATGACTGTGTTCAGCAGGTCAGTGGTTCAAATCTCACCGGCTCAAGGTTGACTCAGCCTTCCATCCTTCCGGGGTAGGTAAAATGAGGACCCAGATTGTTGGGGGCAATGTAAATATATATATACATTGCTTACTGGTGTACACTGCTTAGAGAGTGCTTGCATGTAAAGCGGTATATAAGTCTCATAAATAAATAAATAAATAAACAAATGTTTTGGGGACACTTTTGAGACTTTTTCGTACAGTGAATCGCTGTATATCTGTCGTAGAAAAACATCAGATCGCTTGCTCTTAGTGGATTGAATTGTGTTTTCAAATGTTCCTCCAGCTAGCTTCAGTACAGAACGCCATACGTATGTGAATATGCATCGCTTATCTTCATGTGCGTTGCGCAGCAGCCTCTACCCATACAGTGGCGTGCCATTGGCCAGAATACGGGAGATATGGGAAAAAGACTGGAAATAAATTATGTGCATCGATATGTCCTGATGACAAGAACAAAAAAAGTGCTTGCATAAATCGAAGAATTATTTCCTATGTTGTGATTGAGAGGTTATGTTGGGGGAGGGGGGCGATGACAACTTCCTCATTGGCTCAAGGGGGCGATTCGTTCAAAAAGGTGAAGAACCACTGCTCTAGACCACAAAGTCCTTTTTCTATAAAGTTCTGCAAATGTTTCTGATCTCAATATATACAGGTAAAACACTTGTTTTTATGCCACACTATTTTCCCTCACTGCAATCTCTGCATACTTTAAGATGCTCTTTAAGAGCCACAATAATCTTTAAATTGTATGAGATGGGATGCAAATATGGCAGCAGAGTGTGAAAATTAGTTAAATTAGTACCTACCATGTGCAAAATATTGAAAATAATTCAGTATAGTTAAGTGAGAATAACAATTATGTCCAATTAATGGTAATTAATGATACTGTTACCCTTATTTCCCAAGAAATTTTGTCACCTTTGTTCACTATATAAATATTAAAAATTGATAAGCAATACAAATGTGTCAAGGTATCTGGATGACTATAAAACAGATACTCTGAGCTATTTTCTACAGGCTGGTAGATTTAGTTTTCTGGCCCCTTCTTTTTTTAGCTAAGCAAGAAATCTGTAAATAAGAAACATTATTCTCATATTACTCCCATTAAATTACTCAGTTCCCTCAGTTTATTAAAATGGAATATTTGTGGGAAAATGTTCTACAAATATGTAGCCTCTGTATTCATCCATCTTTCCATGTTAGTTTCAGATAGAATTCTGATTTTTAAAATTACCATTGGTCTATAATTCCAGAGAATAATAAAACTAAGAGAAATAAAAGGCAACATGGAACAAGGTTTAATAAAACTTCTCTCCATGTTCATCTCAAACTGATTCTGCATGCTTTTTCTCTAAGAAATTCTCTATTTGTCTTAGAGACTGAAGTCTGAATCTGTCTTTTACCTGAAGATATTCCACTTGTGACTTCAACAAAATAAAAGATCTACAGTTATTTTTTTGACATGGAACAGATTCTGACAAAATCCCTTAAAGCCTTTTCCACTTCTTTTTAAAATCAGAATAACCAGCAATTTAGAAAAGCCTCCTCGACAATAACTTTTAGAAAAATTTGCATTCTTGAAAAGTTCTTACATGCTTGTAATTCATTAATAAGAGTTTAAGGTACACAGATCTAACAAACAAGTAGTATTTCACAAACATTCAGCACAAAGACTGGATAGTAGCAATGAAACTGATCCTTAGATCTGTTCTAATCTAGGAATGAACCTATTCTGGCCAATGCAGGAAATAGATCAAAAAAACTGTGGACTTCTACAATGGTTTTTGATATCTTGGGCAAGTAGACAGATCATAGAATGTAATAAGGAGACAAAAGTACTTTGTCCTGTGGCATTTCACTAAAGGATATCATAAATTTGAAATTTACAATGAAACCACTGCAAGAAAGTCAGCTGCAGAACTGGGAAAAGGCATGGTTCCTCAATGGTTTATGTGCTGTCAAAATCTGTCCCTGGAAAATTGAATAATTCTCCAAAGTAGATTTTAAATGTACACAGGGAGAAAGCAAAAAGAAAAGAAAAAGAAAAGAGAAAAGAAAAAGAAAACAAGAATCTAGTTCTCCCAGAAGTTTTGCACTTGTAACATAGTGGATGGTATCCAACTGCTGGATTGGAGAGGATGTACGAATTTTGAACCAATTGGAACTACGTCTATAGATTGGGGCTACAATGAATTAGAAAAGTAGATATGGATTATAATCCATTTGAAAAGG